TGCTGAAGAGTTTCCTTATTGTCACTGATGCTAATGCCAGGATACTGTGGAGAATTTAGCCCCCAGAGTGCTGCATTACTGCATCTTTGCTCCAAGGAAAACGAATGGCCTGCATCGCTTTATAGTTCTCTTAGTTTTTCTACACAATGTTACCCAAATTAATGACACATGGAGTGGAGTTGTCTTACTTCCTGTTGGAGCGGCATGAAGGCACACCTGCATTCAGTCTCAGTTCAAACATCAGTTCTGATATTCCTACATTAATTCCTTAGCACGTGTTAGCATCTGCTGTGAGGGGACTCTGTGTCAGCAGATCTCAAAACTGTGCAAGGACCCAAGACACAAGACTCCCAGTGATGATCTTTCACCACATGGGAAAACTTCATTTTCATTCCAAAGTTATTTAATTCTCCAACTTTGAAATGGGATTTTATTCCTCCAGTGTGTAGTTGAGGTTATCTTTTGGGATAGTCTGAGTGAATCTTGTTGCACTGGGAAGATTTATCTTCTCACATAGGCTGAAACTGAGTTATCAGTACTGGAAGACTACCATATCATGCTCTCTAGTTAAGGTTTCTTGGCACAGTTGATAGTGCTTGGCAAATACTGTAACGTACATGCTATAATTAACTTGCATGGTACTCATAACAGCACTGCTCAGCAAACAGTGGTTTCCCTGCCTATTTGACTTCAGTATAGTCTGCAGAGTTATTCCCAGGAGTTCTGATTCAGTCTCTGATCTTTTCCACAGCTGTAGCCTCCATGGGTGATCTCGCCATGTACCTCAGTGAGATCTCCATTTAGAGGAGCCAGGAGAAAATGCTCCTACCTTTACAAACTGGCTGTTCACAGCCACCTCATGTACAAATGCACGCAAAGAGCTTTACAGTGCTTGCAGTGTGCCAGGATGGCAGATTAATCCAGCACTGGGACCATCTGTGTATTAACTTAGTGCCAGAAACAATTCTCAAGTAACATTTAGAAGTTGATATTACCCTCTGGAGGCAAAATAATTCAAAGATTTAGCTGACACACTTTGTCCTTTCTCTAAATCTTGCTATTAAGCCCAAGGATTACCTAATGCATTAGTTGAATGTCCAGGCAAGAATGTCAAACAACACTTTAGACAAAGAAAAACACAGCTTCTCAAGGATTCCCAATTTCAAGTAGCATTTTTGTTTAATAACACTTTTTGTGCCTCAAGTCATATGTATTTCCTTCAACCTTTTTGTGAGCCAATGGCTGAGTTGCGAGTAGTGATTTTTGTCTCTGCTTTCATCACGGCGCAGCCCTAGAGCAAAGCTTTACTTTTGCATTTCAAACTCCTAAAAAGGCAGAAGATTTTTTTTGTTGTTAAATGGGAATAAGATAACATTGCTGTAAATTCAGCAAGGATTTTGCTTTCTGTCAAGGCAGCTGAACCAGGCCATAACATTTATCAGGGGGATCATTTGGTGCAGATGATAGAGCACTTGTCTAGGGGCCAGAAGAATTACATTGCAGTTGTCTTTTTTTATTATTATTTGAATTAGAAACTTGGGGAGGAGACAGGAATTCTTGCAAACATTACATTTGCAATGTACATTAATTATAGCATTGTCCTGTGTTGTCCCAACACAGGATACAGACCCAAATTCAGAGCTCTTTTTTATGTTGAAGGAAATTCACAGCAACCTTTATGGTAGCCTGCCTTGCTTTGAAATATTCTAATTATATACCTGACTCCAGAAGTGTTATTAAGTCTTTAAGTATGCAGACTTTCCTGGCTGCAGGCAGTGGTCAGGTGATTATGTGAGACTCTTCAGATTAAGAAAACATAGAACATCCAAGTCTGTTTAAAAAAAAAAAAAAGATTACTCCTGTCTTTTAAATTAAATACCTGTTTAAGTAGCTTCTTAAATCTGGATTTTAGCCCTTAATATCTTTAATTTTCTTGAATTTTTCCTCTCAAAAATATGTAAAGCAATTATCCCTGAGCTCAAACATTTCTTTTTCATTAAATGCTATATAACAGAAACACAGACTTCAAGTAAGGTCTGTAGGTCTACACCTTTGCAAAAGGAAAGAGAGAACATATAAAATGATAATTTTTCCATTTGCAATCTACAACTTTTTCTATATGCAATCTATAATCTAATGCAATATTTCTTCATCCTTTTTCAAAAGGCAAACTAGATGGCTTTTGTTCTATACAGTAAGCCCTCTTCAGCATGCTATCTAAAAACCTCTCCTTAGGGAGAAATCCTTGCTCTATTCAATTCACAGCAGACAGGATTTCATTCTGTATATTTGGATTCAAAGCAATGGGGAATTGCATAAAGAAAATGCTCACATGCAGGGCATTCTCATTTGTTAAGCCCATTGATCTATTGGCTGGTAAAACAGCTGTTTCTGGCGATACTGGACCATCTTTTAGTGGCTTTTTTTTGTTAGCTTTTGCAGAATGCTGAGGAGAGCAGTCCTCATTTCCTCCTGTTGTTTTTGGATGTGGAAAAAAGCTCTGAAATGTGAACTGAAAAGTTTTTACTCTCTAAAAATAAATATACACGGTATACTTTTATCTTTTCCATTAGATACTGTACTCAGCTCATCTTTCAGCAATCATGAGACTGAGATCTTGACCTGTTCCACATCAGTGGTTTTATTATTCTGGGAAGAATCATTTTTCTAATTGAAGGTAACTGGTACAAGAGGGGAGATTTTAGAAGTAAGGTTTATTGGAACAAGTCACCTAGGGGCAGATTCTCTTTTCTTGAAAGGCTCTAATCAAGGTAAAATATCTTTCTCCCTGTGATACTGTTACTGAAGCAGAAGTTAGAATCTGATGCAGAAGGTACCGCTTCAGATGAGCAACACGTGGTTTGTGTTGACGTGAAGGTACAGGTGCTTCAGAGTAGGGTCTAGTTCCAAATTTGTAGTTACACACAGCCCAGCTCTCCAGCCTCTTGAAAGTCAAACTCGTCCCTTGGAGCATGCTAGCACTGGGACCATGATCCTTGCTGCTACTGACATTGCACGTCAGCTCTGCCTGGATCATAAAGCTCATTCCACCGGAGATTCCTCTGGTTTTGTGCTAATAACATTCGTCTCTTCTCTGCTCTCTGACTGGCCTGCAATCAGCAGCAAGCCTAAGGCTCCTCTCAAAGGTAGAATGACTTGGAAAGAACTCAATTAAAGAAATGAAAGCATTTACTATAAAGTAA